AAAAAAAAAAAAAAAAGACACTTAATTAGGATGGACTTGAGTACAAATACAAATTAGCACTTTTGGTCTAACACATTGCACTTAAATGTCTTGAGTGTGTATTTTTCAACGAATGTCCCAGTTACTTGTCTAATAAATTTCCATTCCACAACATGTATTTCAAAGCATTCTTGTGTTATGGCTCTACACATTCACATGATTATAAAAATAGCTTTTTTTATATGTAGTATACAGGACATCCACATCACTAGGTGTTAATCTAACATGATATTTATAGAGGAAGGTGAAGAAGGGGGACCAAACTGTGCAATTTATTTTGTGCAATCTCTTCAGCAGGGCACAGCAAGGTCAGACAACTCCACATGCTCCTGATTACAGACTAATCAGCCGCTACCTACCATTCACCCAATCAGTGCTGGGCAACACAAAAGGCAAATGCCCTTGAATAAATTAATTTAAACCGGGGCCCCACTTCAGCTGTTTTTGACCATCTGTAGCTTTATGTTACCTATTGAAAATCATCATTATGCAACAGAGGTGACTGCTTCCATTGTGCTCGCTGAGCTGCTGAGCTGCAGCACACTGATGTGGTAATTTACCAGGAGGAGGATTTGTATAGGATGAAAGATATTTCACATGTAAAGGCTTCAGGAGAGGAAGGTGACATTATGGACGTGCACACTTTCTGGAACCAAACAACCACGCACTATGAGACTCTCTTGGATACGATGTTTCTCACATTCAACTGCACAGTCCTAACCTTAACATTAGTCTTGGGTTTACCCGGGAACTTGTGGGTTTGTTGGGTTGTATTCAGGACCAAGAGCCTGCAGACCTGCAATAATGCGCTGCTGGTCAGTTTGGCCGCCAGTGACCTCCTGAAGTGCTCTGTGGACACACCGCTGCTGCTCTTCTCCTTTCTGCACTATGGGAAGGACAGCCAGGTGTCGGTGCCTGTGTGCACCCTGCAGCAGTTCACCTATGCCCTGTGCAGCTGCGTCCAGCTGCTCACGCTGGTCAGCATCAGCGTGGAGCGTTTCCAAGCCATCGCGTTTCCCTTTCAAACCGAGAGGAGGAAAGCGAGGGTCCGCCTCTGGATCCTGTCTATCTGGGCATGCGGCCTCATCTTGGCTGTAATCTCTCTGACACTTTCCAAAAAGGCGCTTTTTTACATGCTCTGCCGTCCGCACATCGGGGGGCACGGCGACGAGCGTCTTCGATATTGGGATCCGTTTGGACCCTACGTACTGGTGCCGGTATGGGGGTTGTCTCTGACTGTGATCGTTGTCCACTACGTGCGGATTTTCAAAGTTGTAAGGCAGCACCGTAAGAAAGTGTTCAATCGGGGAGTCCAGCTGAGGCCGACGGTGTCCGAACACGTCTGGGGCTGGCTGAGTGTCCCCATTTCAGCACCACGGACAGCTCCGCCACACTCCTTCAAGACTCTGCCCTCTGTGGGCTCCGGCAGCCCGCTGCCTCCCCGCCGGACGGTGCTCTTGGTGGCTGAAGCCGGCGCTCCCCCTGCGGGCTCGTCCACAGGAGGCGCCCCGGGGAGACCTCCAGAGATCGTGGGGGCAGTGTGTCTTCTGACTCCTGGGGCCAGGGAGCGGGGGAAGAAACAGATGGAGGGGAAAGTAGCCCAGCGTTTTGGGTACATAATCATTGCGTTCACGCTGTTCTGGGTGCCCATGGTGGTTATTTTGCTAATGAACGTCATCTCGTGGCAGAACACGGACAAAGTGAGTGTAGCAGAGTTTTTTCAGGCTGAAACTGAAATTGTCCATACAAAACTATATATATATAAACCCTGTACAGTGTAATATAATCCAATATGACAGTCCTGTGATAAATGCTTGTAATGTCTGAGGTTTCTAATAGTTGTTCAGAGAAGCTGTGCAGAATATTAGAAACATCTATCCAAATAATTCTGTGTAATACAACAAAACCACAACCTCAAAATAGAACCACAGAAACCAAACTAAACACAAAAACTGTGGGTTTTGAGTGAGGTATTTTGGTATGGTTATTACACAGTTATTTATATTATTCTAGGCACTCCCTATAAAGTGCAATAATGCATCACAGTAGTAGTAGGTTAATCAGAAAAAAAACAACTACTTCCAGCTTTGAAGATTTGCCGCTTTACTGTTTTGAATAATAAACTTTCTCTGTCTGGGTTTTGGACTGGGGTTTTTGGGCCCCATAGATGTCCTACAAAAACATTTTAGAAAGGTATTCCATGTCATTGCATTATCCTAAGCGCTCTCCTGTTGTTCCCACAGTTGCTGATGGAGCTAGAGACATCAGCTATGGTTCTGACCTGTGTGCAGGCTGCAGTGGATCCCCTCATCTACACTTTAGTCACCAGACAGTTTCGCTCTGAACTCAGCAAGATCCTTTCCTCCATCCCAGGGTGTCCCCTAAAACTGAGGGCCTGAACATTTGGATCACATGGACTGCACTTTTGGGAACTGAGTACTACTGAGTCACTACATTGTGTTTACACACTTGCACACATAGAGTGATTTAGAGGCGAGTGAAGAAGAGAGTCCACATATTTTGTATTTGTGGCAGATATAGATGTTTTATCAGGCGTTTCACAGTTGGGACACAAGACAAGGTCATAAATAATATCCAACACCTGACAAGATACGCACAGCAGTAGTCTCAACAATGACAGGTGGCAAAGGAGGGCAAAGCAAAGAGTGAGAGGAAAACTGACTGAGCCCAGAAAAAAGACAATCAAAGGAGAGTACATAACAGAGAGAGAGAGAGAGAAACACAATTACAGACCTCTGTTTTTGTTGTTTGTAAATAAAAAATGCAATCCTTTGACACTTTGAGCGGAAATATGCTTACATAATAATTCAAACTGTGTCATTTGAAAGTGCAGCTGACACAAAACAACCTGTCCTGAAACAGGGAAGCGATAAATAAATCACGTTTAATCACTGTCCTAGCAACAAATAATACAGGGAACCTCACTTCTGCCATTACCTATGTCATACCCTTGTGGCTTTCAATAGATCCTAAATGTCAGACTTGATGCTGTGAATATGAAGTCAATGTCTTCAACCCCACTTTTTAAAATTACACTGAAAAAGCTCTGCTTGTCTGTGCTTGTCTTTTTTTTTTACTCCAGGTAAATTTGCGCACAATTTAACTAAACATTAATACTGGATCTAGGCAGCTGTTGTCACTGGGTACAGTACTAAATTACCAGCAATCGTACTAGATCACTGCTAGGAATATCAGACATAAAACATATCTTGTTTTAACTCTGTAGCATATTTTTGACTTTCTTTGGGTCGATACTAACCTCGGGATCAGAGAGAACTAAAGCTCAACAGAGGAGTGTAAGGGACCTTTGGGTCTTGTGTAGTGATGCACTGATATGGTACCAATTATGTTATACATTTCCACCCATATTGGCTGATATGATTGTGATATGTGATTATTTTGTAAGTGTTAAAGTACAAATGCATGTGTAAAACTGGTTAAGCTTTTCAGATGTCTCCATCTTAAGGTAATTAAATACTTCTAAAAAGACTGATACATTTAGCTGCTAGTTTGACAGCTGTTTTAAATACAATCTACTTCTACAGAAATAAAATCAGCTACATATGGGCAGACATAGTATTAGACCAATTCTAGTATTGCTTTTGAAATATGCTCTTGGCTGATATGGACAGTATGCCGATATATCGGTGCATCTCTAGCCCCATCTGTGTGCTCTTAATCAACATTTTATTTCATCTATGTGGAGCAGAAGTGGGTGCTTAGTCTGTTCTGACTGAAGCTGCTCTGCCCTGCTTTGGTGAAACCCCAGCGTGGTCTCATCTACCCAGAGACAGACCTAACTGTCTGTGTAGCTGTTGGACTCAGAATGACATTCAAGATGAAAAAGGCCAACAGAGAGGAATCAGCTAGGAGGGTAGCAGAGCTAAAAAGGTCAGCGTCCATGGCTACAAAGGTCAACTTTGATGGGATTTGATGGTAAGTACTACTAAAGTTACATGTTGGGGCTGTGAGTTGAGAGAACAGACAGAATAGCAAGTTTTTTTGGTGACAGAGATCTGTGGATGGCTCATCCAGTGTCCTCCATGTCTCTGTGGTCACCGTTACAACAGACTTCCCTGCTTTAAGTTCTCAAGAAGATAAAGTAAATAAAATCCTTTGAAACATCAAGGAGGACAAAAAGTACAAACACCAAGTTTCCTAACCACATAGAGTACACATACTCAACAACTTTGAAAAATGCCCGCTGAGTTTGGGGAAGAAAAAACGTTGACAGCTATAAAGACTACTGAAAGCATACTGTTGTTCACACGGGAGGTAGGGATACAACAGGACAACAACGAGAGAGAAAGAGAGAGAGATATAGAGAGATAGAGAAATGCAGAGAGAGGAAGAGAGAAAGACAGACTGAGGAAAAGAGAGAGCGAGATAGAGAGAGATAGAGAGAAATGCAGAGAGATGAAGAGAGAAAGACAGACTGAGGGAGAGAGAGAGAGACAAGACAGCTTCACTGGTTCTGCCAAACGATGGTCAAATATTACAAAATATTCTATTAACAATATTCACAAAGAACCAGGGCTCAGGACAGATTCATGTCAGAAATTCCCAGCGAAATGCCTTGTGCTTTTAATTGTGGTGGTTTGAATTCAAAATGTTTTTATTCTTTTGGTTTCTTTGTTAAGAGAATTGAGTTATTTGAGGTCTGTTGGGCTCCAACAGCCAAAAGGGAAAAAAACAGGTGGGAGGATTCAGAAAACTATAAAAACAAATATATCTCTTTTTACTCCAGCAAAACAGGCACATGTTGTGTAAAAGGCTTGTAGCTGAGAATTTCGAACAGAAACATGTACAATGAACCCTTCAGAGTGGCAGCTAGTCAAATATACCATATACTGAGCCATAGAGACTTCCAGAAGAATGGAAACTGAAAATTTTCAGTCAACTGAGACAATTCTCTCTCACACATACACACACACACACACACACACAAGACACACACACACACACAGGCACATACCTCCTATCCAGGAAAGGTCACGATTCCTCTATCTATCAAAAATGTTACATATTACTCATTCAACAAATATGAAAGTTCATGGGAACCGGTCCATCACAGGACGACACCAACCGATCTTCCATCTTTAAAAGAATTTTCACTCAAGTAAAGTGGACCTGAAAAGGAATGGCGCCATATTTATCTATCAACAGGTGACCAAAATGACACAAAACAGAAGGGCAGCATTAAATCAGTGGGAAAATGTTTTGATAATGTATTTTTTTCGTTTTTGAGTTTCCTTCCTTTTCCCTTATATCTCCTGTTAAAAAAAATGAGTCAAACTGAAACGAAAATCATAAAAAGGTGCTTTGTGCACAGTGACACATGACTCCGACTCTTGGGAGGCACACTCTCACATGCCTCCTCATCTAAAATGACTCCCTACGCATATTCCCCATTCTTTCACCCACACACACACACGCATACGCGCACACATGCATGCCAACCACTAACATGAATATACTGTATCTAAAAGCCATCCTCCGTCTGTAAAGGGAGTCCATGTCATTACAGTACATGACCAGCAGAGGGCAGGCTCCACCATGGCCAGACTAGGACTCTAAATGCCTTCTCCTCCATCATTTCCAGTCCTCCTCTGTCCCTCAGTCTGTCTCGATGAGTCTTTATCTGTCTTTCTTTGTGATGCGCCTGCACTCTAGTCTTCACAGTGCGGACACCTTCACAACGTTCTGGTGGGTGGGGGCCGCAGGCAGATGAGCATCACCCTCAGGAGTTGTCACTGGCGGTGTGGGAATGCTGATGATTGCTGTGGTGATCTGGCTGCTCTGGCAGTTCAGGGATGCTGGATCGTCTACGCGCATGTTCAGACTGGAGCGGCTTGAAAGAAAGAAAGAAAGAAAATGAAAGCTTAGGATAGTTTGTCCGTGTAGAAGCATTTTGCTAAAAGTTAGCCTAAACCTTTGAAGAGATGGGTTTGTGACTGAAGGTTACTGGTTCGTGTCCCACACCAGTTCTGGTTGAGGAAAAGTGAATGATTTCCTTTGACAACCCAACTACTGTTCAAGGTCGAGGTTGCTTTTATTGTCTCCCAAAGGAGAAAACTGTCTTGGAGGTGCTCCCTTTTACCCCTTTCAAACTGAACAAACAACTCTGGAAAAACACCATTAGTGTGAATGGGTCAAGATGTTTAATGGAGCTTTAAAAAAAACCCCAGGTATAATTGTGAAAGTGTTTGTTGTAGTGTCGAATAGAATCAACACCCAACTCTGTCTTTCAGCTGCTAATGAAATTGCAGCAAGTTGTTTCCTATAAACAAGCTTAGACAGAGAGCCAAAGTAAACTGTGAAAAAAGCTGAGTGTCAAGCAAGCTTAATATCCTCTAATATTGAGTTGATGGACCAATCGAGAGCTAGCCGGTGAGTGAATATTTGATTTACATTTGTGAGTTGGCCAAAAAAACTCCACTGTGATACTCATGTTGCTCTGTGTCTTCTGGGTGTGTAAGTATGCAGTTGTTTGCGATAGAGCTGCAATTATTTATTATTTAATTTGCCAAGAAAATTGATTAGTCAATCGACTGAAAAATTAATCAGCAGCTATTTTAATAACTGATTAATTGTTTCAGTAATTCCTCAAGCAAACAGTAAAGATTAGCTGCTTTTCTTTGTCATATATTACAGTAAACTGAATATCTGAGTTTCAGGTTTTCAGGTTGAATAAAACAAGCTATTGAATACAAATCCTTGAGAAGTAGGACATTTTAACAAGCATTTTCCACTATTTTCTGACATTATAGACAAGCGATTTATTGATTTGTTGAGAAAGTAATCTGATTCAGGGCTTGTAAAAGGACTTTGTAACGTAGGGACAAAATTTGCACCTCGTTGTCAGTTTTTATTAATTACATGATGGATAATTGAGCTAATGTAGAAAGCTTGGTTTGTTGTCTCTATAGCCACTAGCTTCAATAGTGAATCTGGTTATAAGTTACTTGCTAAGATGTTTCAAAACCACTACAGATGATGAAAGCCACTGTCACAAGCAAAAATATATTTACTTTGTTGAAAAAAAGAAAATCTTGATCAGTGAATCAAATTTTCTTCACTGGCTTCTGAATACAAAAGCTACTGAACAAACTGATTGCAGAACTTTGACATCATAGCAGGAAGGATATTAACAGTTTTTTTTTAATTCTAAGCTCACCTGGTGCTGAGGGGCTGGATGTGGATGGTGCTGAGCTCCTGCAAGCCTTGTTGGTGTGTGTGCGTGTGTGTCAAAGGCTGCATGTGTGCTGGGGCACTGGCATTCGGTAAAGGGGTGTGGTGCTTCTTGCTTCTGCGGCTGCAGCATGTGCCCGTCACACCATCTTGGCTGGAGAGGGAGGGGCTTCGAGAAGGGTAATTCTGCATCCCCGCCTCCAGATAGCTCTGCTGGTAATACTGCTCATCCACAAACTCGTGGTTCTACAAACAAGACAAAGAGAACGAGGCCAGCAAGGGGGAGAAGACAAAGAGAGAGTCATAAAAAAATATGTGACATTTATACTGTATATGGCTTGATATAGCCTGTCATTTTCTGCTTCATAGGGTTCATAACTCCTCTGAGAATGTGTTTGGCTTTGTGTGTGTGTGCAGAGCTAAAAGTATGTGTTACTGTGTTGGAGCTCAGCTCATAATCAATTTTCTACAGTCAGTTCCTTAAAGTGGCTATAATAATAATAATAATAATAATAATGG